TTTTTTGGGTTTTTTTTTTTTTTTTTTTTTTGTCATTTTGGTATGGGGATCAGAACTCTTGTCCTTCGTGTTACTGGCACCATGTTCTAACCAACTGAGCTCCCTGCCAGCCCCTTGAATACCCTTTTCCACATGTCCTCATTCCTGTCTGAACAGGGATTTCCAGGACTCATGTCCTCAGCTGGGGGTAGCAGAGGACTGGGCCAAGTCTCCACCTGCCTCCCAGCCAGGCTCCTCCAGACCTCGGGTTTAGTGTAGCCCCCAGAGCACAGGCCTGTGTTTAGTGACTCACTGATCTGACACGTTTCAGAGGATGGTGCTCCTGCTGAGAAGCCGGTCATTGCCCTCTGCCTGCAGCCACGGAAGGGGGAGTGCATGTGCCTGTGTGTGAGGAGGGAGGGAGGGAGGGCAGGGCCTGTCTCTCACTCCACCGCCCTTGGCCCAGCCCCATCAACTGCCCTCTTTTTCTTGGCATTCAATGGCCTGTCCAAAGATCATCTCTCTTGGGCAGCAGAGAGCTTTTTTCTTTAAAAAAAGAATGGAAGGAAAGAACGGTTGGAATTTCTTTTAGTTCAATATTTATATGTGTGATGACCAATAGTGGCAGCCTGTGGCCAGAGCTTATAAATGATAGATGCAAAATTGCACTCTGCTCCCTATCTGTAAGGATATTGATAGCACAACCTTGTCCCTGCCCCTCATGCACCTTCCTGGCCCCTTTCCTGTAGCCATCTCAGGCTTTCCTCCTCCTAAAGCCCTATGTGGGGAGGAGATGGAGCCAGGCACCAGGGGTCTGAAGTGCGATCCACCCAGAGTACAGACCTCAACCACATGCTTGCAACTTCCAAAGCAGTAGAGGCAGAGGGGTCCCCTCTCAGACACCTCACCCAGCTTTGTCCTGGCATTAACAGGCCTTCTTAGAGAATACTGGGTCCTGGTAGGAGATGGCATTCTATCTGTTTCTTCCAATCTGCTGATTCTCTGGTCTGCACCTTAAAAACTGCAGT